GAGAGAAGGAGAGGAGCAGAGAAAGGGGGGAGGGGGAGGGGGAACGAGAGAGAAGCACACCACGTGTTCAGGATCGGGTCCTTTTAAAACTTTGCCAGAGCTATTAGGATGGGGGTGGAGCTGACACAAGAGGTTGGGGGGAGCCTAGAGGCTAGGCTGATGTCCGGGTGTAGACCGCAGCCTTTTCCTGACAGTGACGGCCGTCGGCGCAAGGGGCCTTCCCCTGGGAAGGCAGCCAGGGACGGAATGGCCGTCTGCCCCGCCTCCCATGGCCTCTCAGGTTGCTGATTTTGGTAAACCCTGGGGAGTCGCTGCAGGCCTTCTCCACCCAGCCTGGGGGAAGGCGCCCTGGGCCTTAGCCCCACTCTGTCTCCCACGCCCAACACAGAGACCTGGGCTGGGAGGGCTCCCGTGGCTGGGTGGGGGATGCAGAGACCTGGGCTGGGAAGGCTCCCGTGGCTGGTGGGGGATGACAGAGACCTGGGCTGGGAAGGCTCCCGTGGCTGGGTGGGGGAAGCAGAGCTTATTCACACCTGGGGCTCAGGGGGAGTCGTGCTGGGCAGGGCAGGGCAGGGCAGGGCAGCGCAGGGCTGGGTTCTTTTCCTAGTAGGCTTTGCAAGGAAATGAGAAGCCAGGAAACAACTTGCATGGAGGCAGGAGCTTTGATGGCAGGCGGGACACTGGCTTTGAGGAAGTGCCCGGGATTTAAGGCTTTGCTGTCTGCCCTCCCTGGACGGGATCATGGGGGCAGCCACTTGTCACGGTCACTGCTGGGGGCGTCCACGCTTCTTCCTTAGTCTCTGGTTTCTACAACGTAAGAAAAAGCTTACCAGGCTGGGTGACGGCCCAAAACCTTTCCACGGAGCCTGTAGGGTCTTAATGGAAGGGGGAAGAGCAGAAGAGGCGGCCAGGGCCTCCCGGGATGGACGAAAGTGTCAGCTCCTGGCGGCTGCCTGGATTCCTGCAAGGACAGGACACACCCTGGGTGTGTGGGGGGGGCAGTAGGAGGCCGCCCGCCTGTCTGCCTGCACCCAGGTGTGTGGGGGGGGGCAGTAGGAGGCCGCCCGCCTGTCTGCAGTGTCAGGCCGGCCAGCTTACTCCCGCAGTCCACTCAACCCCTTCTGGCCTTAGCTCGGCCGAAAACCAGCCCTGTGCACCCTGCTCTCCGTAGCAATCTCTGGGGGACTCCGCACTGGGGGTGGCTCCTCCCGTTCTTCCAGTCCCCGCACCTGGAGGCCCGACCCCTCCGTCAGTTCCGCTCCCCCTGCCTCACCACCCTGTCTTGTGGAGACTCTCCGGGACCCGCTTCCCCTCCCCCAGCCTCGCGTCCCCTCCACCCTCAGTTTCGAGTCCTCCGCTGCCTTCAGTCCCTGGGAGTCCCCGGCACCTCCCCAGCCCCTGTCATCCCCAGTCCTCGGGCAGGGTTGAGCGGGCCAGTGGGTTTATTAAGATGCACCTCTCAAAACTGGGTTCAGAGCTTCACCCCGCTGGCCCCAGCTGCTGCCCCCAGGGCTGCCCCGCGCGCCCCATCCTCCCGCGGCCCCTTGGAACTCTGGAACAGTCACCCCTTCCTCTTGGGCAATTCGCCCCGCCCCGCCCCCTCCATCACAGGGCCACCTACCTTTCTTCACCCTCCTCCAACGTCTGCTCTGTGAACACCCTGATCGGAGCCTCCCACGGCCCTCCTCGGGGCCCGGTGCCCACGGCATCAGGCCAGGGACTGGGTGCTCCTAAAGAATTCTCGCCCACAGAGGCCAGCGCTGTGGTGCAGCAGGCTAACACCCTGGCCTGAAGCGCCGGCATCCCATATGGGCGCCGGTTCTAGTCCCAGCTGCTCCACTTCCGATCCAGCTCTCTGTTATCAAGCACTTGGGCCATCCTCCACTGCACTCCTGGGCCACAGCAGAGAGCTGGCCTGGAAGAGGGGCAACCGGGACAGAATCCAGAGCCCTGACTGGGACTAGAACCTGGTGTGCTGGCGCCGCTAGGTGGAAGATTAGCCTAGTGAGCCACGGCGCTGGCCTCAAATAAATCTTTAAAAAATAAATTTAAAAAAATTCTCGCCCACAGGCCCTGGAATCCTCACCTGGCAGTGGAGCTGACATCCCCACTGCCCCTGGGTTCAGCCCTCACGGCCTGGAGACGTCTCTGCCGGTGGCGCCATCTGCTGGCCAGCCGCGATCCTCACACGATGTGGAGCCCCGCTCTCCGCCTCCTCCTCGTCCTCACGGGCTTGCTTCCTCTCTCTGCCCCGGACAGCCTGCCTCCCTGCTCCTGCACGTCCCGCTACACCTACCTTCCTGCCGCCTGCTACAACACCAGAAAGCCCCCAAAGCGCTGCTCCTTCGTGGGCCAGCAGGCTATTGAGGTCACGATCCTGGCCACACACAGGTCCCTGCGGGGGTGCATGGGCGCGCGGCGCGGCGCGGTGGTTTGCCTGACGCCCACTACTCACTATGGCTACTCTGACGGCGGAGGCTACCAGGACGCCAACAGACAGCGAGAGCTTCAGAAGGTGAAGCAGATCTTGAGAGAATGGGCTGAGACGCGGCACGGCAGCACCCGGGGGCCCCTCCCCCGGCATGCCGCCCGCCAGGCCACGGCCTGAGCCAGCCCCAACCGCGGGTCTAGACGGCCGGCAAAGGTGCATGAGGCGTCTCCGGGGACATCCGTACATCGGGAGCTGTCAGGAATGAGTGGCGCAGAGGCAGGACGGCTCCTTCTGAGGATGGACCGGTAACACCCACCCGTCACTCCTCTTCTTCCCTGCCTGACCCGCTGCCCGCAGGGCCTCACCTGGACCATCAGAGGACCCCAGCCTCAGCTGATGACTGCTCCATCCAACCCTCCCATCAGCGCCCAGCCCCACCAGCCCACCTCCCATAGGCACAGCAGGGCCACACCCTCCCATCAGAACCCCAGCCCCAGGCCAGCCCACCCCCTCCCTTCCATGCCACACTGTGGTGGAATGAGAAGGCCATGCCAGGGTGGCCACTGGCAAGCCAGCGTCAGTTACTCAGGAATGGCTTTGAAACCACCTGGCAACAGGCTGGGATTGGTTGGGGCATAAACCGCCCATTGACCAGATTGGCTGTCTTGGCTATATAAACTGCTGTACCAACTGAAATAAACGAGTCTGCGGGCTGCTCGCCTCAGGCCTGCTTTCACCCGACTCCAGGGGTCTGTGTGGTGACTCTGCGCCTCTTGCCCCCACCACGCTGCTCCTCTCAGAAACGAATCCACTGCAACGTTGTTGAGAAATCAGTGGCAACATCTGGCGCGCCAACGTGACAGAGAGAGACAGCGTGTGGGACTGGGCGAGGCCCCCCTGGACTTTCGGCAAGAAGGCCCCTCGGTGTCTTGTGTGCTGTTCGGTTCTGTGAGGGTGAGCACAGAACCCCCTCCTACGCCCCTTTCCTTGTCCTTGTCCTCGGTCTCAGTGACCCCAGGTTAGCACACACCGCCCTGAGGCGTACGTCGCTCCTCGGCTCCTCCTTTTACTTTCTGTTCACCCGACAAATTCACATAAGGGACTGATCATCCCAGAACTCGGAACCAAGTCCTCTCCCTCACTCGAGAGAGGTGACGCTCCGGAGGCACCGTGTGGGCATACGGCATTGACCTAATGAATCAAGGAAGTCCCCCACTAAGCACAGGACATACCTAGGATCTGATACACCACTATCTGTTTGTCTAACGTAGGGAAACCCCCTGCAAAATGCCATCAGCCGCTGAGGTGCTAGGAATTTGCTTTGTTATGGCAGCAGTGCTGTGCGTGTCTTTCCTTCGGCTGGAGTTGGCGTGCCGCGCCGCTCTTAAGCGCTCAGACATGGGAAAGATGCCCCCCTCTCAGAATCCCACACAGATTACCAAACAGTGAATCTGTGAGTGATAAGAGCCTGACACTCCAGGCGTCTGTCTCACAGACAACAGTTGATACTCAGGGAGAGAGAGCTGGACAGTGAAAACAAAAATGTAGCATACAAGGTAGCAAAGCCTAGTCAGCCACCCCCGCATACCCGTGGGATGAACAAAGAGGCCCTCTAGACAATAACTCATGTGAGGTCATCCCATCCGCACCCAGTGAGGATCCCCACATTTGTGGCAGTACTCAGACACCCCAAGCTCTTAGGGCAGCTGCTAGACCCTATGCCACCCACACGTTGAACTGTATGCAAAATCCAGGCCCTGGACTCCAGCGCCTGTAAAAAGGCTTCTGCTAACCAAAGGTCGAGGATATGCTTGTGTCTTTCCAGAAAATGCGGAACAGCCCATTTGGGTACCAGCCAGAAACACCAAGTCTGCAACTGACAGCCAATCAGAATCAGCTGCACAAGACCGAGACTCCGCCTTGTTAGCAGACGCACCTGCCCTATCATCCTACCCTGAGGAACTGCTCATAGCCACATCCGTTACTGTTTTGTACCCCACTAGCTCTGGTCAGCCACTCAAATGGCCCACAGCAATGGAATACCTCTGACCTGTTGAGAAATGAATGGCAACACCGCACCAGCTCACCCCTCCCGTCAAGCCCCGCCCCCAGCAGGAAGTGGCCGGAGCAGAAACTGACCCCTTATCAATAAAAGGCTGAGATAACAGGGCTCACAAGGGTGTGTGCCCACAGGAACGGGTGCTTGTGGCCTTTCCCAGGAACCTGCAGCCCGCGGCCCCCGGCTGACGCGAGCGCCGCTCTGAGCCCCGCAGCTGTGCCTCTAGTAAACCCTCTCTCATCCTGGCCTCGTCCCACAGGCTCTGTCACTTTGTCATTGCCACCTCTCGCTTTCCACTGGTGCTTCCTTGTGTCTGCCCAGCAGCACCTGCGCGGGCGAGGGCGGGTCCATTCGGTCACTACCCACTCGGTAAACACCGGGCTCCCACCCGCCCCAGCAGCCCCACCTGGGGAGGACAGCCCTGGAGCGCACGAGGACATCACCATCTGAGGTTGCCCAGTGGGGAGGGGCAGGGCCTGTTGATGCTTCCCACCCCTTGTGTCAGCAGGAGCCGGCTTCAAAAAGCACTGGCAGCCGCAGCCGCAGCTGCAGCCGCAGGAGGCCGGAGCCCAGCACCATGACGGAGCTGGAGACAGCCATGGGCATGATCATCGACGTCTTTGCCCGGTACGCGGGCGGCGAGGGCGACCCGCAGAGCCTCACCAAGGGGGAGCTCAGGGTGCTGATGGAGAAGGAACTCCCCGGCTTCCTGCAGGTGAGGCGGGGCCGCAGGGGCGGAGCCAAACCCCGGCAGGGGCTGAGGGGCTTGGGAGCAGGTAGGTGGGATCCCAAGCACGGTATTCAGGTGGATCCTTGGCGTTAAGCCCCTACCCCAGGTTCGCCTGGAGGGAGAGGGACAGGGACAGCCACACACGGGCAGTGGGGCTGGGAGCAGAGTGGAAGCCAGGGCCATCCCTGCCCCTGCCACACCCAGTCGCCGTGTAGCTCGGTGTCGGGCTGGGGGAGGGCCTGGAGGGACCAGTGTCCTGTGCAAGCAGAGACCCCGCCCTCCTTGGCCTCCCCATTCTCTCCTCCCCCTACACACACACACACACACACCTCATTTATTTACTTGAAAGGCGGAGTAACAGAGGGACACAAAGACAGAAATCTCTTTGCTGGTTCACTCCCCAGATGGCTGCAAGGGCAGGAGCTGGGCCAGGCCAAAGCCAGGAGCTGGGAACTCTGGGTCTCCCATGCGGGTGCAGGGGCCTAAGGACTCAGGACATCTTCCACTGCTTTCCCAGGCACATGAGCAGGGAGCTGGATGGGAAGTGGAGTAGCTGGGAATTGAACCAGCGCCCACATGGGATGTGCAGGTTGCAGACAGTCCGGGCCCTCCCCTTCCGTCTTCCCCCCCAGCCCCATCAGACTCTGCCACCGAGGGTCCCGATGCTGATGCAGTGGAAGCCTGGATTTGGGACCTAGCTTGTGACCTCGGGCTCTTAGGGCATTGTTTCTGTTCTCCAGATGGGTAAACATGCACACACTCACCCTGTGCTGGGGCTAAGAAACCAAGTGTGAGGATTTGTATTTGTGTGTGTGTGTGTGTGTGAGAGAGAGAAAGAGAGAGAGCGCGATCACGCCCCAAATGCCCACGATGGCTAGGGCTGGGCTAAAGCCAGGAGCCAGGAACTTAAACCAGGTGGAGTGGGAGCTCAGCCAGGTACCGCCGCCAGGTTTTCCCCTGTGGGATGCCTATCCCAGCCCTCTGGGATTTTGACCCAAAACATTGGGGCTGGGGGTGGGGGTGGGCACGCTTTGAGCACCGAGGCAAAACCAGGGAATTCTCAAACTTGGTTTGCACCGGGGCCCCCTGGGGAGCCTAGAGAAGGCCACGGCTCCGCCTTCAGGAAGCTGTGCGCTCAGTCCTGGGGCCTTGCTCCCCGGGTCCAGCCCAGGGGCGCTCATGGCCTGGGGGCCCTGTTCCCGCGGGCAGCCCAGGGGCGCTCATGGCCTGGGGCTCCGTTCCCGCGGGCAGCCCAGCGCCACCAGCAGAGGTGGAGCTGCACAGAGGCGCGGGGACTGAGCTCCAGGAACGTCACGGACAGCCCTGCTGACAGCCACGAGGCGTCGGGACGGGGTGGGGGCGGCACACTGCTACCGCGGCCGCCTGCCGCTACGTGCCCCGGCTGGGTCGGGCAGACGCTGGGCCTCCGCCGGGTTCAGCTGTGACCGGTGCCGGCTGAGCTCAGCGGCGCCCCCTGCTGCTGCTGCGCACCTGGTCCCTTGCAGGCGATGGTGCACTTGTTCTTAGACAACCGGACCCGCGTGCTCCCCTCACCCGGGCCGCGACCCCACTGTCCCCTTCTCCCCGTGTGACCTGGGTCAGGTCCCGCGCATCCTCCTCCCTGGTGGCTGTGGGGATTACGGGTTTGCAGGCACAAGCGCACACCCCCGAGGCAGCCGCGCAGAGCGCGGAGCTGCACCGCTCCCCGGGGAACCACTGCCGAGCGCGTCAGAAATCGGAGGGTCCCCTTCTGGGCACAGCAGTCGCGCTCCGGCGAACAAGGGCACCGGCCGGCGCACGGCCTCTCACAGCTTAGGGCGGGCGGGCACCGCCTCTCCTGGCCCCGCGCCACAGAGGCGGCATCGCCGGCCCCTCCTCTCTTCCAGAACGGGAAGGACAAGGATGCGGTGGACAAAATGATGAGGGACCTGGACGCCAACGGGGACGCCGAGGTGGACTTCAACGAGTTCGTGGTGTTTGTAGCTGCGCTCACGTCTGCCTGTCACAAGTACTTTGTGCAGGCAGGGCCCAAGTGACGGCCGCAGGCCTGGCCCAGCCACTGTGCGCGGGTCCTGGCGACTGCTGCCCGGCTGCACCTGCTGCTCCGCCCGAGTAACTAACGCAGGTTCGGGTCGCGATCCTCCACTCCGTCCCGGGAACCTCAGTGCCCCCCCCCCCATTCATGAAATAAACTCAGCACTGAATACTCACACGTGTCCCTGAATTACTCAGTGCCAGCCCACTGGGAGGAGATGGACGGTGGCCAACCAGGACCCGTGTCCTTGGTACCTGCCTGCACCAGCCCCGCAGCCACTGCCATCAGAGTGGACCCAAGGCAGCTCAGGGACAGCACCCGTCCGTCTGTCCGTCAGCCGCGCACGCAGTGTCGCCATCTCTCCCATGTGCTTTTTCCAGTTTTGAACGACACCGTTGCCCCAAGGACCATGACCAGTCACAGGCTGAGTGGAGAGCGGCCATGAGAGGGGCCGGTGCCCCTGTGGCTTGCCGGGAGCAGCCCTGGCCCCAGGCACCAGGCTGGCGGCGGGATCTGGTCTCAGCGTGCTGTGCTGTCGTTGTCTGAATGCCCAGCGTCTGGAGGAGGACAGCTCCCCCCAGGGCAGTGAACTGGGAGGTGGTCAGAGGGGGCTGAGCTTCTCTTCTCCCACCTGGGGAAGGCACTGTGGATGCTTCTGCGAGGGGCGCTGTGCGGGGTGGGAGGGCAGCAGGTCCCCAGGCTGGACGTGAAGGGGCGGGGGGGGGAGCTGTGCTGGGTGGGAGGGCAGCAGATCCCCAGGCTGGACGTGAAGGGGCGGGGGGTGGGGCGGGCAGAGGGGAGCTGTGCTGGGTGGGAGGGCAGCAGGTCCCCAGGCTGGACGTGAAGGGGGGGGGCCGGGGGAGCTGTGCTGGGTGGGAGGGCAGCAGGTCCCCAGGCTAGACGTGAAGGGGCGGGGGGGGGGGGGCTGTGCTGGGTGGGAGGGCAGCAGGTCCAGGCTGGACGTGAAGGGGCGGGGGGGGGCCGGGGGGAGCTGTGCTGGGAGGGCAACAGGTCCCCAGGCTAGACGTGAAGGGGCGGGGGGGGGGGAGCTGTGCTGGGTGGGAGGGCAGCAGGTCCAGGCTGGACGTGAAGGGGCGGGGGGGGCCGGGGGGAGCTGTGCTGGGTGGGAGGGCAGCAGGTCCCCAGGCTGGACGTGAAGGGGGGGGGGAGCCCCTCTTTTGTTCCTTGCTGAGGAGGAGGCAGAGCCCTGGGAGCTGCGGCAAACACCGGCTCGCGCGCTCGCTCCTGGCCTCGCCCTGGCTAGGCACAAGCACCTGGCCTGGAGGTGGGCACCTGTCCAGAGGCGGGGACGAGTCCCAGCAGGATGGGGGCAGCAGTCGCCCACACTCTTACTCCGCAGATGGCCGCACAGCCAGGGCAGGACCAGGCCGAAGCCAGGAGTCAGGAGTTTCATCCGGGTCTCCTGCGTGGGCACAGACCCAAGCACTCGGGCCACACTGCTGCCTTCCCAGGTGCGTTAGCAGGGAGCTGGATCAGAAGAGGAGCAGGCAGGAACTGTACCTGCCGTGCCAGACGCCGGCCCCTTTGCAGACACTTAAAGGAGAGGCGTCTCCTGAGAGTCGCCCTCTCAGAAGCCAGGCGACCGCAGCCTGCCGTGGCGGTGGGCTTCTCCCGCTCAGGAAGACCCCGGGCCCAGCCCTTGTCACTGTCTTCACCCGTGGGAAGAGCGCCTGCCCTGGGAAGCGCTTGCGGCGAGAGCGGCGGCCATCGCCCGGGGGAACTAGAACACCTGAGGGGCGATGCAGGCGAGGTTTATCCGGTTTAGACTGGAGGCTCACAGCCCAGGCCTGGGTGGCAGCTGATGGCTACGATGGTGCCATCATCGTAGAGGCAGAGCAGCCTGTGAGAACTGCCCGATGCCCTAAGCACCTCCCAGATGCCACTCGTTAGCCCACGCCCTCACCTCAACCCGTTACCTGACCTCCGACTTTGGGACCAAGCCGCGGGGCGTCAACAACGTCGTGGTGAGATCACAGCTCTGAGGGCACTCCAGAGTGCTTGTGAGAGCTGTGGTTTTCCCCTGGTACGCCTGCAGCCCACCACAGAGTGCTTGGTCCAAGTCCTGGTTCCACACCTGACCTGGCTTCAGCCAGTGTACACCCTGGGAGGCGGGTGACAGCTCCAGTCCTCGGGTAGGTGACACGTATGGGAGGCTGGGACGGGTGCCAGGATCCTGGCTTCAGCCTCACCCAGCCCTGGCTGCTGCCGTTATTTGGGGAGAAACCAGGAAACGCAAGCTGTCTCTTGGCTTTTCAAGTGAAATAAAAAAAAAAGTTAAAAAGATTAACATTCAGGCCAGCGTCGTGGCAGAGCGGCTGACGCTGCCAGTTCAACGGCAGCCGCCCATCCGGGGACCCGTGCGGCGGCGGCGGCTCCACTTCCGACCCAGCTCCCGCTAACGCACCTGGGGAGGCAGCAGCTGAGCCCCGAGCTAGGGCCCTGCCCCCGCGTGGAGACCGGACAGGGTTCTGCGCTCCTGGCTTCGGCTGGACAATCTCTGTCTCCCTCTTTTGGAGAAGGGGGGGGGGGGACCTTAAAGCCCGTGAGGAACCAGAACTAGAAGGCAAGTTCATTGTGGAGCAGACTCAGAGCTCACACAGCTGTAACGTTTCCTGAGCTTCCCGAAGACGGGGTGTGTGTGTGTGTGTGTGTGTGTGTGTGTGTGTGTGTATGTGGGGGTGTCGGCATCTCCCCGCAGAGGTTCACTGCGTGTGTGTGTGTGTGTGTGTGAGGATGGGTGTGGGGAGTGTGTGTGTGTGCTGTGTGTGTGTCTGAGTGTGGGGTGTGTGTGAGTGTGCTGTGTCTGGGGGGGGTGTGAGTGTGTGCTGTGTGGGGGTGTGTCTGTGCTGTGTGTGTGAGTGTGGGGGGATGTGACTGTGTGCTGTGTGTGTGCGTGTGGGGGTGTGAGTGTGTGCTGTGTGTGTGAGTGTGGGGGGTGTGAGTGTATGCTGTGTGGGGGTGTGGGGTGTGTGTGTGGCGTCTCCCCACGCTTCGCTCGCTCTGGTCCCTGCGCCTCAGACCCTCCCACCCCTCCTGAGGGCTGTGCCAGCCACCAGGGCCCAGGTGGCGGCGGCTCCGGGAAGCCCTCCTCTCCGTGGGGCTGCCTGCGGTGGTCACACCCCACACGGGCGTCCCCCGCACCCGCGCACACCTCTGCGCGCTCCCTGCTGAAGGGCGTCCCGCACCACCCGCCATGGGGCGGGCCCTGGCGCAGTGGCTTAGCCGGCGCTGGAGCTGCCGGATGCTGTGCCTGGGTCCCTGCGCCAGGCGCCCGACCAGGACGGGTTCCGGGCTCCCAGCTGGCCCAGCACCCGGGAGCGAACAGCGGGGGTTCCGTGCTCAGCTCCCCACCTGACCCCCACACCTCCAGGAGCCCGACGCCATGAGGACACCGGAGAGCGCGCGATTCCTTTATTACCACGCAGGGCTCTCACCACCTCCGCGAGAAACCTGCTCTCTGGAGAGACCTCCTCCTGACGAGGTGAACCGACGCCTGCTAGGCCCGGCTCCGCCACGCCCGGCTCCGCCACGCCTACCACCCCGGTGCGCCAGGGCTCCACGCGCGGCCGACGCCCGTCCCTCCCTCCGCCCGGGGCTCCTGGGGCCTGCGAGGCCCTGCAGCGGAGGGGCCACTGCAGGCGGCCAGCTGTCTGGGCCCACCGCCCCGGCCAGCGTCCCACCCCTCCTTCGCACAAACACGCAGGAGGCCCCCGGCTTCCTCTGGCGACGCAGAGGGTCTCCCTCACGCCGTCCGCCCGCGGGACCAAGGGTGCAGGGCCTTCCTCCTGCTGAACCCCGAGCTTCCGCGACCCCACAGCCCAGCGCAGTCGGGTCACGCGGTACCAGCACACAGGGCCGTGCCCACCGTCCAGCAAGGGCTCGGAAGTAGCTTTTGACGGGGCCCCACTTCTCTTGGTATTTCTCCAAAACGACGCGTCTGGCGACCCGGATCCTCACGAGGGCACCAACCACTGACCGGGGAGGCCGTCACCGGGCGGGGGAGCAGACGCAGAACGGACCGCAGGCGCCGCGCGGCTTCCTCGGCGTGACCAGGGCCGCCCCCTGGGAACCTGCAAACCGGAGACATTCACCGTCACGACAGGACTCCGGACGGCCGCAGTCTCCAGAACATTCTGGAAGCTTCTAGGGCCGGCCTGACTTTCCCACTCGCTCCCTCCCCCGCCCCGGGTTTCTGGTTTCCTCCCCACTCCCTCCGTGCCTGGCCGGGCCCCGGCGCCAGACCCAAGTCCGAGTCGCTTCCACCGCGCCGGGGAGAGCCGGGGCGCCGCCGCCGCCCTGCACCGGCTCCCCCTCCCCCCCACTCCCCTTGGCCCCTCGCAGTGCCGCCTCCGGCTCCCCTCGGCCCCGCCCCGCACCTGACCCCCGCCCCGACTCTCCTCTGCCCCTCGCCACCCTGCACCTGGCTCCCCTCGGCCCCGCCCCCGACCCCCCCCCCGGCTCCCCTCTGCCCCTCGCCACCCTGCACCTGGCTCCCCGCGCCCCCTCGACCCCTCGCCACCCTGCACCTGGCTCCCCTCCCCCCCGGCTCCCAGCGCCCTCGGCTCCCCACGGCCCCCTCGCCCCCGGCCCCCCGCCCCGCCCCCAGCTCCCCTCAGCTCCTCAGCCCCTCGACCCTGGCTCCCCTCGCCCCGGGCTCCCCACGGCCCCCCCCCCCCCGGCCCTCCTCGGCCCCTCGCCCCCGGCTCCCCGGGCCCCACGGCCGCCACTTCCGGTCACCACCCCGCGCCCCCTCGCCCCCTCGCCCCGGGCTCCCCTCGACCCCGGCCCCCACGGCCGCCACTTCCGGCCCCCACCCGCGCCCCCTCGCCCCCGGCTCCCCACGGCCCCCTCCCCCCCGGCCCCTTTGGACCCTCGCCCCGGGCTCCCCTCGACCCCGGGCCCCACGGCCGCCACTTCCGCCCACCACCCGCGGCCGGGGCCCTCGTGGAGCGACTTCCGGCCCCCACCCGCGGCCCCGGCCCCCGCCCCGCCTCACCGCGCCGCGCTCACGACGACTCGCTCCGCTCTATCCGCCGCACCAGCTCCACCAGCATCTCGGCCATCTTGGCCGCCTCGCGCGCCTTCTCGTCGGCCCTGTCGGGCCTGGCCGCGCCGCCGGCGCCCGGCAGGTGGTTCAGGGCGCTCTCCTCCGACGCCTCCACCTGCGTCTTGATCTGGATGAGCAGATTGTCCATCTCCCACAGCTTGCCGCGGTTCCGCAGGGGCGCGCGCCCGTGCTCGCGGCGCAGCGCCGCGATGTCCTCGCGCATCTCGTGGATGACCGGCAGCAGGAACTGCTCGAAGTCCTCCTCCGGCTGCAGCACCGCCACCTCCTCGGGCTCCGCCAGCTCCACCGCGTCCAGGGGCCGCATCGTGCGCCGCGGCGCTCGCCTCCTCCGGGGGCGGCCGGCCAGCAGCCACCGCTGGGGTCACGGCGGCCCTCGTCGGTAGCAGCCCCGAGTACCGCTCAGTTCTCTTCTTGCTCCTAACGTTCAGTCTCTCGCTTCACAACCGCCGGGGGAGAAAACGCGTCGCTGCCAAACAGCCCCGCGCCCCCAACAAGCACCCGCGGCCGTCAATCAGCCAGCCCTGGCGTGTTTACGGCCCTTTCACGACGTACAGGGCCACTTTACGGCCACGCCTCGGCAAGATCGCGGAGCGGGCGCGCGCACGTAAAGGAGCCAGAGGCGCGCGCGCATGCGCCCACGGCCGCCGGGCTGAGCGCGCCGCGCCGTATTCGCTAGTGCGAATTTAGGGGCGCAGGGGTTTGCTGGTCGCGGTTTGCTCGCTTCCCGCTAGAGCGCTTCCTTCCTGGAGGGCTCGGCTTTGGTTTTTTTCAGGTAAAACCCAGCCTCTCCGTCTTTGAATAAGGCTGGCTGGTCCTCACAGCGCTTTCTGTCCAAGCAAGCACTGGCGTCCATTAAAGTTGCGTTTATTTATTCGAAAGCTGAAGACGGAGAGATCGCCTCTGGACTCCTCCAAGGCCCGCAACAGCCGGAGCTGGGCCAGGCTGCAGCCAGGAACCCGGAGCCCCCCGGGTCTCCCCCGTGGCCGGGGTGGGGGGTGGGGGGATGCTGGTACCTGAGCCGTCTTGCGCCTCCAGGGTGCACCCAGGATTCTTGCACCCACGCACTGCAGTGTGGCGTACAGGTGTCCCGACCATTGCACCGAACCCCGACCCCGCTTGGGCGATCCGTCGAGCTCAGCGGGGAGACCTCCTAAAGCCGTGCTCTGGGTCGGAACGCGAGCTCAGCGCTCGGGGGCCGCAGCCCCACGTCTACACCGCAGCTCCCAGCAGCCCTCCCCTCTCACGCGCGGCCCACTCCCACGCTGTGTCCAGGGGAGAACTTCTCGCTGCCCTCGGCTCTGGCCGGTGGAGCCCGGTCTCCTTCGCCCTCGGCAAAGGGCCACCTCTGCTGTCAGCCCTTCCCGGGGTTGGACGCGAAGATCCCCGGAGTCCCGCGGGGCCGGCCTCTGCAGCACACCGGGCCGTGAGCCTGCGTTCCGGCCCCGTTGGCCGAGGCTCCCGCTCCCCGTGGCGCCGAGTGGACATCTCTGACGGCGGTGGCGAAGCCCCCCTGAGGCAGGATGCGCCGTTGGTGTGTGCTGCTCAGACGGACAGCGACCGACGGACACGATTCTCGGAATCCTTCCACTGACACCAATTCTGTTTGTTTATTTGAAAGGCAGAGGCCGGTGCCGCGGCTCACTAGGCTAATCCTCCGCCTTGCGGCGCCAGCACACTGGGTTCTAGTCCCGGTCAGGGTGCCGGATTCTGTCCCGGTTGCCCCTCTTCCAGGCCAGCCCTCTGCTGTGGCCAGGGAGTGCAGTGGAGGATGGCCCAAGTGCTTGAGCCCTGCACCCCATGGGAGACCAGGAGAAGCACCTGGCTCCTGCCATCGGATCAGCGCGGTGCGCCGGCCGCGGTGGCCATTGGAGGGTGAACCAATGGCAAAAGGAAGACCTTTCTCTCTGTCTCTCTCTCACTGTCCACTCTGCCTGTCAAAAAAAAAAGAAAGGCAGAGTTACAGAGATGCGAGACAGGGGGGTCTCCCGTCCGCTGGTCACTCCCCCAGTGGTGCTGCCCTCCATGATCCCAGAGAGCCGTGCACGTTACAGCCACCAGAGCACGGCGGTGAGAACCGGGACCCCCGCGCTGCCCCGTGGGCGCCCCACTCGGCCACAGCCGGGCGGCTCAGACATTGTCTTCCCAGGGCAGAGGCTTGGCAGATGTGGCTGCCGGTGAGGCACCAGCTCTGCCCCGTCTTGCAAACAGTGGCCTCCCCTGCACCTCTCACCCGCCCTCTTCTCGGGGAGGGGAGGGGAAGGGGAGCGTTCCCGAGTCTCCCACCGGATCCTGGCTCCACCCTGAGGCCGCGTTTACTCCAGACACAGCCAAACTGGCTTCGGGCTTCAGCATCCGCATCTGGGGGCGGGGCCCGGACCTCCCGGCCATGAGCATCAAGGTGGGGCAGTTTGGCCAGCACCTCGTACCCATCCAAGGACTAGACGCTGACCACGCTTGTGTGCACTCAAGAGGATCTGGGTGCACTGGCCCACAAAAGGACTGGACGAGGATTCTCACAGCAGCTTAGTTCTAACACCACCCGGATAAAACCGCCCAGGTGTCCATCAGCGGGGGTACAGGCGAGACAAACGCGCTGTAGCCGTGCACCGCCCAACAGAGACGTCTGTGTCAGTCTGGTTGTGCTGGTAAAACAACGCACAGCGGGCACTCACGCTGACACAGGTCTCGCCTGGCTCTGGAGGGTTCGGAGACCACGATCCAGGGGCTGGAGGCTCTGTATCTGCTGACGGCCACCACCAGGCTCACAACGGCAGCTCCTTGCTGTGTGCTGACGTGGGAGGAGCGAGGGGTCTCCTGTCTACGTCTCGTTTGTCCGGAAGATGCATTTATTATTATTTTTTTTTAATTTTTTTTGACAGAGTGGACAGTGAAAGAGAGAAAGGTCTTCCTTTGCCGTTGGTTCACCCTCCAATGGCCGCCGTGGCCAGCACGTTGCTGGCCAGCGCACCGCGCTGATCCGAAGGCAGGAGCCAGGTGCTTCTCCTGGTCTCCCATGGGGTGCAGGGCCCAAGCACTTGGGCCATCCTCCACTGCACTCCTGGGCCACAGCAGAGAGCTGGCCTGGAAGAGGGGCAACTGGGACAGAATCCGGCGCCCCGACCGGGACCAGAACCCGGTGTGCTGGCGCCGCAAGGCGGAGGATTAGCCTAGTGAGCCTCAGCGCCGGAAGATGCATTTATTTATGTGGTTATTTGAAAGGCAGATGACAGAGGGTCCACCTGCCGATTCACCCCGCAAATGTACACAACGGCCCGAGCTGGGCCAAAGTGAAGTCCAGCGGCAGAAACTGCGTCAGGGTCTCCCAGGTGGGCGGCAGAGACTTGGTAGCTGAGCCGTCACCTGCTGCCTCCCAGGTGCACGGGATCAGGAAGCCCCATCAGAGCCAGGACTGGAGCCCGGAGCCCCGACACGGCCGCAGGCATCCCAGATGGCGTGCTCACCGCGGCTCCAACCCCCGCCCCCGCGTCCCCCTTTTAGAAGGTGGCCAGTCACATCCGAGTGACCGAATCACTGCCCCACTGCCCACCCTGACGCCATCACCCTGGGGCAGGACTCGAGAGCACCAGCATGCAGACCACAGTGCGAGCTCATGTGGTTCCGGCCCAGACCCTTCACGAGGTCACGCTCAGAATCTGGCTGCGGCTCTGGCTCTGCGTCCAGGCCTTGTTCCTGCGGTTACGGGAACAGGCTGGGCTCTCGCCACGTGGGTTTCTCCTCGGGCTGCTGACCACGGGGCAGCGATTGCAGGGACCGCGGCGCCACAGCGCACTGCCTCCAGCCACACACCATCACATCTGCCTTCTCCTGTTGGCCCTGAGCAAGCACTGGGCCCAGCGGGCTGAGACACCCGTGTGGCCGGCGGGCGGTAGGACTCTCCGGAGGCTGTCCCGAGTGCTGACTGATGTCCTTGCAACATGCAAACCACACACGTACATTCAAGAACCCCAGCAGCTTCAAAATATAAAACCTCACAAGGACGTATGTCCTGGGGCCGGCGCTGCGGCACGGGTTCGCGTCCCGGCTGCTCCACTTCCGACCCAGCTCCCTGCTAGTGCACCCGGGACAGCCGCAGAAGATGGCCAAGTCCCCGAGCCCCTGCACCCGCGTGGGAGACCCGGGAAAAGCTCCTGGCCTCGGATCAGCCCAGCTCCGGCCGGGGCGGACATTTGGGGAGTGAACCAGCAGATGGAAGACCTCTCCCTGTAACTCTGCCTTCCAAATAAATCAGCCTTTTTAAAAAAGGACTTGGGTACTACGGCCTCTTCTAGCGTCCGGTTCGAGGGCAGACTTTGGTAAACGACCTAGACCTCGGCGCCTGACACTGCTCCCGCACACCCAGTGCCCCGCGTGTGTGCGGGGGAAGGGGCAGTGCAGGCTTTCCTGGGGGGCTGGGGGCCCCAGTAACTCAGGACGGCCACTCTGTCACCTGGCTCTCGGCGCCGTCACAGCGCACGCTCCGTGAACATGGCCTGCGTAGGACCACGGGCCGCCCGCCCGCCTGCTGCTTTCGCAGCTTGGGAGGAGCGAGCCGGAGGCCTCCATTCCGCCCCGCTCGGGCCCCACGGCCGCAGCACAAGGCCTTGAGGCCGCCATAGCTTCTCCGAGTTCCTGTTCCGGTCCGCGTGCGTGCGCGGGCGAGCGAGCGAGCGTGCGCGCCCCCGGAGCCCGGACTCGAAGGCGGCTGCGCGTGCGCCCTGAGCGAGCACGGCGGGCGGAAGTGGGGGCGGGCGAGCGTGCGTGCGTGCGTGCGCGTGCGCGCGCAGGGAGCGCCCTGGGCCGCCCGGCCATGGCGGAGCCGCCCGCGGCCGAGGAAGCCGAGGCGCAGGGCCCCGGCTGGAGCGGCGGGGACAGCGGCCACGTGTCGCAGAGCCACAGCTGCGCCTCGGGGCCGTGGGAGGACGAGGGCCCGGAGGACGGCGCGCCGGGCCGCGACCTGCCGCTGCTGCGCCGCGCCGCCGCGGGCTACGCCGCCTGCCTGCTGCCCGCCGCCGCGGCGCGGCCCGAGGTGGAGGCGCTGGACGCCAGCCTCGAGGACCTGCTGACGCGCGTGGACGAGTTCGTGGCCATGCTGGACATGATCCGCGGCGACTCGGCGCACGTGGTCCGCGAGGGCGTGCCGCGCATCCACGCCAAGGCCGCCGAGATGCGGCGCGTCTACGGCAAGATCGACCGGCTGGAGGCCTTCGTGCGCATGGTGGGCAGCCGCGTGGCGCGCACGGAGCAGGAGGTGGCCAGGGCCGAGGCCGAGCTGGGCGCGCTGCCCAGGGCGCTGCGGCAGCTCCTGCGCAGCGTGGGCGGCCCCGGCTTCCTCGCCCGGCCGCCGCCGCCGGCCCCGCGCGAGCCGCCGGGGCTGTTCCGCACCGAGGACCACTTCCCGCGCCGCCGCGACGGGCCGCCGCTCTGAGGACCGCGCGGGGCCCGCCGGTGCGCCGCCTGCCACGGCCCCGGAGAAGCCGCCGAGCCGCCGCAGCCCTGCGGAGCGTGCTGGACGGGTCCGGTTCTCTAAGCCGCCTGCAGGCGCAGCGTCCAGCAGGAAGCCGGACAGCTCCGAGTAGCCGCGGGGTGCGCCTGCGCCGAGCTCTGGCCGCGCCTGGCCGCCGTAGCCGATGGTTGCTTTATAATCTACGTGTCAATAAAAGTTAAATTATTGTTGGTTTGGAAGTAGGCGGTGGTGTTCCCGGGAGAAAGAAAGAGGCTGGGAGGTGCCCCGTTGTCTTTTTTTAAAGATTTATTTATTTCAGGCCGGCGCCGCGGCTCGCTAGGCTAATCCTCCGCCTTGCGGCGCCAGCACACCGGGTTCTAGTCCCGGTCGGGGTGCCGGATTCTGTCCCGGTTGCCCCTCTTCCAGGCCAGCTCTCTGCTGTGGCCAGGGAGTGCAGTGGAGGATGGCCCGAGTACTTGGGCCCTGCACCCCATGGGAGACCAGGAGAAGCACCTGGCTCCTGCCTTCGGATCAGCGCGGTGCGCCGGCTACAGCGGCCATTGGAGGGTGAACCAACGGCAAAGGAAGACCTTTCTCTCTGTCTCTCTCACTGTCCACTCTGACTGTCAAAAAATATACATTTATTTTTTACTTGAGAGAGTTAGGAAAGACAGAGAGAGAGAGAGAGAGGTCTTCCATCCTCTGGTTCACTTCCCAATTGGCTGCAACAGCCAGAGCTGTGCCGATCCGGAGCCAGGAGCCAGGAGCTTTTTCCGGGTCTCCCACGAGGGTGCAGGGCCCAAGGACTTGGGCCATCTTCTACTGCTCTCCTGGGCCACAGCAGAGAGCTGGATCGGAAGTGGAGCAGCCAGGACTCGAACCGACGCCCATGTGGGATGCTGGCACTGCAGGCCAAGGCATTAACCCACTGTGCCACAGCGCAGGCCCGTGTCTTTTTTTGTTTGTTTGTTTACTTGAAGGGCAGAGTCAGAGGAGAGAGGTTGTATCCACCGGTTCACTCCCCTTGTGGCCACCAAAGCCAGGGGGCGGCCGGGAGCCAGTACTGGCCTCCACGCGGTGGCGGGGCCTAGCGCTAGAGCCGTCTTGGGCCTTCCCAGGTACATCAGCAGGGATGCGGGGGCTTGAACCGGTGATCCCGGCCAGGGCGGGGGGGAGGGGCGTGGCGGCGCGGCGTGGAGGCCGACACAGCGGGTGGTGTCGCCCTTAGCGTTCCTCATTGGGGAGGCATCGCTCACAGGAAGCAGCGCCTGGATTTAGAGGCCGAAAGCGCAGGCACCGCGGCTGGCACGGGGCGACCCCGGACCCCGGACCTGTGGCAGCCTCCTTACACACACCCGAAGGCTGTACTGGAAGGCAGTGAGTCGCGGGGAGTTAGGGCACTGCTGCGGCCGGGAGAGAAGCTAAGTCCCAGGAGGTGCCAGCCGCAGCGTGCTGTGAGCGGAGACCTTCCCAGTCCCAGGGCTCAGTTACCTGCAGCAGAGGGGGCCGGCAGATGGAGGACCTCTCTGTCTCGGCCTCTTTCTAACTCTGCCTTTCAAATAAATAAATAAATAAAACTAGGTTGAGAAAATTAGAATAGTAACCAATAGGAACGGTAATCGGCTCAGCTGTTGACTTGATTTTAAGTTTACTTGTGAGGCAGAGTGGCCGCTCCGGGTGCTGGTTCACTCCCCATTTGGCCTCAGCAGCTGAGCTGGGCCAGGCCAGGTCAGGGGCCAGGGGCCTCCGCGTGGGCTGAGCGAGGACTCGGGTTCTTGGGCGGTCACCTGGAGTGGGCAGCGGAGACGAACTTGAGTGCACGCCCTGTCCGAGGAGGACACGGCCGGCGTCCTGGTTGGCACTTAGCCGCTGTCAGGCGCTGCGTGGGGCGATGGCAAGTTCTTGTTGAGGAGGAGGAGAAAGATGGGCTCGGGATGCCGGGCAGGCAGCACAGGTCCCCGCCCCGCCAGACAGGCCAGTGGGAAGCCCAGCGTGCCTGTCCCCCACTGCCCCCTGCTCGTGGGCTGGGCTCCGTGGGCTCTGTGGGGCTTGTTGGGTTCCCAGCAGGAAGTCCAGCGTGCCTGAGCCCTGGACCAACGGGACAGGTGGCGAGGCAGACGCGGAGCTCAGTCAAACGTGTCCGCGGGAAACCAAGCTCCCTGGAGCTAAGGACGCGGAAGGAGGGTCGGGGTTCTCCCAGGAGCCCCCGGGCTGGCCTGCGCGTGCGAAGGTCAGATACCAGGGGCAGCTTCAGCCAACCCAAGCCTTAGGGGCTGCAGGTGCTCGCGGGGGTCCAGGGAGGGCGTCTCCCTTAGCCACGCCCCGGGAATGTGCAGGCCAGGCGTGCAGCATTGCCTTTCCGAGAGCAAGAACAGAGGTTTCCAAGCTTTGCAAGGTGGCCGAGCAGTCGGGGACGCGAGGTGGGGAGGGCGGGGCCGTGTCTGGTGCAGGCACAGCTGCTGCCCACCAGGGGGCGCTGCGGGAGCAGGAAAGGCCTGGGAGGGCCGGTCCAGCCTCTGCCTCCCGGAACCCAAGGCCCTGGCGTTGGAGCTGCAGAGCCCCCGGACCCTGTCCATCCTGAGGGGCTCGCGGGGTGCAGAGTAGGGGCTGCAGCAGTGGCTCAAGGCACAGAGCGGGGAGGGGCAGCACCGGCGGCCCGCGGTCTGTGGCTCTGGCCAGTGGCCTTTGCCTCTTTGGAAGGGCTGCACCCGTTTCTTTCTGTACTTGTCTGTCTGTCTCCTCCACGAGGGCACGGATGACGGCCATTGTCCATCTCGTCCATCTCAGTCCGCGGCACCGGCACCGGGCCCAGTGCAGAGCAGGCTGTCCCCCGTCTCGGGTGAGTGAGTGGAAGGGGATGGTGAGGACGTGTGGGCGGCTGGCAGGGAGACAGAGGGCCCGCGGGCTCAGCTCCCCAGGTCAGGACTGGACGTGCCCTCCCCGCCCCTGCCCTGAGGTCCTAGCACGTCCCATAAGCCGGGTATCGCTGGCCGGATTCGCCTCTCGTCCGGCCCCGTGGTACTTCAGCCTGACGAGAGAGCTTTCCTACCACCCGCCCCCGGGCCTGGTCCTCCCCCTTCTTCCCAGTTCAGCCTCACGCGGGGAGGAAGACCCCTGGGGTCCCAAGCAAAGGAGAGACTCGCCAGCACGTGGGTGCACACGCATGCATGCCCACACGCATAGCACACGTATCACACACATGTGAACACAGCTGTACTCATACAAACACGCATACGCACGTATAAGCATGTACACAGAGTTGTGCACACACACACGAGCACACATGCATATATATACACAGTCATGCTGGCATGTACACATGCTAACACATGTGGACACAGTCATACACACAAACGTGTACACACACGCATGTACACAGAGTTGTGCAGGGTAAGCACGCGCACACACATCCATGCACACACATGCAGAGACGCCACCCTTGTGGCCTCTCTGGCCTCTCGGTCCTGTCCTGTGGCCCAGGCTCCCAGGTCGCTCCCCTACCGCAAGTGTCCTAGGGTTTCTCGGATCTCCCGCGTCTCCCTCAAGGAGGCAAAGCCACAAACCCCGCGTGGCCCCCCCTCCCGGCCTCTGCGGCAGCCCCTGCCCAGCGGCCCCACCTGCCTCGGTCCCCCCCCCTGAAGACATTCGCAGGCCGGTGTTGGACCTGGTGGTCGAGACCCCCGCCCCCACCCGAGGACTCGGGCCCCGCCCCAGCTCCCTGCAGCCATCGCTCAAGCGGTTGAGTCGCTGCCAGCCCCACGGAGGCCCGGCTGGAGCCCCTGGGTCCCGGCTTGGCCTGGTCCGTCCTCGCTGTCGCCGGCACTTGGAGAGCGAGTCGGCGGGGGAGCGCCGTCTGCCCCTGGCCGGCGCTGGTGACGGATAACGAAGACAGCGCCAGGCTCTCGGTGCAGAGCCACTTCGCCTGTCCCCTCCGAGACTGGCACCGGCCGCACTGGGAAACCCGTCAGGGTTGGTCTGGGGAAGAAACTCCCCAAAGCTGTCTCGCAACGCCGAGGCTTTCGGCAGACGTCAGTAGCAGGTCGTTTCCTGCCCCGCTGCGAATGGAGATCCCAGCGGGGTGGAGTTTCTGGACCCTGTGTGTGTGCACGCACATGTATGTGTGTGCATGTCTGTATGTGCACACGTGTATGTGCACTGTCTCTGCGCATGGATGCCTTCATGTGCATGCCCGCCTGTGTGCATGTGTGTGCGTGCCTTGTGCATGTGTGTATCTGTGTCTGTGGTGCATGTGTGTCTGTGTGTGTGTATGTGTGTCTCTGTGTGTGCATGCATGCCTGTGGTGCATGTGTGTATGTGTGTGTGCCTGTGTGCATGTGTGTCTCTGTGTGTGCATGTGTGTATGTGTGTCTCTGTGTGCATGCACGCCTGTGGTGCATGTGTGTATGCGTGTCTCTGTGTGTACATGTATGTCTCTGTGTGCATGTGTGTCTGTGCATGTGTGTATGCGTGTCTCTGTGTGTTCATGTGTGTCTCTGTATTTGTGTCTCTGTGTGCATGTGTGTGCGTGCCTTGTGCATGTGTGTATCTGTGTCTGTGGTGCATGTGTGTCTGTGTGTGTGTATGTGTGTCTCTGTGTGTGCATGCATGCCTGTGGTGCATGTGTGTATGCGTGTCTGTGTACATGTATGTCTCTCTGTGTGCATGTGTGTCTGTGCATGTGTGTATGCGTGTCTCTGTGTGTGCATGTGTGTATGTGTGTCTCTGTGTGTGCATCTGTGTGTATGTGTGTCTCTGTATGAGTGTCTCTGTGTGTGCATCTCTGTGTATGCGTGTCTCTGTGTGTGCATGTGTGCATGTGTGTCTGTGCATGTGTGTGTATGTGTGTCTCTCTGTGTGTATGCGTGTGTATGTGTGTGCATCTGTGGGTATGTGTGTCTCTGTATGTGTCTCTGTGTGTGCATCTGTGTGTATGTGTGTGCATGCATGCCTGTGTGTGCATGTGTGTGCATGTGTGTGCATGTGTGTCTCTGTATGTGAATGTGTGTATGTGTGTCTCTGTGTGTGCATGTGTGTATGCCTGCCTGTGGTGCATGTGTGTATGTGTGTCTCTGTGTGTGTGTGTGTGCGTGTGTGTGCGTGTGTGTGCATGCCTGTGCATGTGTGTGCGTGTGTGTGCATGCCTGTGCGTGTGTGTGCATGCCTGTGCGTGTGTGTGTGTGTGTGTGCGTGTGTGTGCATGCCTGTGCGTGTGTGTGTGTGTGTGCGTGTGTGTGCATGC